CTCCGCGGGTCGCGCCGGTGGTGGCAGCGCCGGGAGGTTCGGCAGTTGCTGGCGCGGCTCTGGCCCGAACCAGCCCGGTTCTGGGCGCTGTTCCGGGCCCCCCGCCCCGGGATATCTCGGGGGCGCCGTGTGTCATCATCGTCTTCCGCGTTTTGGCTGCGTCCAGCTTTGTTTCTGAAACTCGTAACGGCGGGCTTTGTTGAGGACGAGGGGCTCGTTTCTGAGTTATTTCAGCTATTGCATGTTTCTTTCAAGTCTCGCACCGGGTATGGTTTTGCGTTTTGCTGTTAGTGAAATAATATGCTCAAGCCTGTGCTGAGCCGAAAGCTGAAGTGGCAGATGTTTACCGATTCTTGTGCAATTGTGTCTCTGTTTTTTGTCTCCAGCCATGACCATGCAGTTCATCAGTCACCGGTTTCCAGAGGATCATGATCCCACAATTGGTGAGAAAAATAATCTCTTTTCTCTTTGCTTTTAGCGGGTTAAGCTGTTGTAGAAGCCATTGCTTTGAAGTACTCAATGTAAAGAAAGCTATAAACGTGGCTGTAATTGAGTCTCATAGATTACTCATTCAGAGATATGAAGAGTTCTGAGATTGCTGGGGGCTGGGATGCGTATCCTGCGTTTAAATCTTTGGTGATTTTCCTAGCACATCCATTCAGGCCGTGTATGTTGGCAGACAAGGATGAAAAACTGCAAAGTTAATTATTAGTTGTCTGTTCAAAAAATCTAGCCTGTGCTTCAGATCAGCTCTCTGCTATTGATCTGTCGGGCCAAATTGCATTCTGTGTTTTAGAAACTGGGAGGGATGAAAGTGCCTAATGATTTATTGCGTATTTTTTGCAGCATCTCTAAGAGAAACCTTAACCAACAGTTACATGGTCAGTAGGAAAGTTGCAAAAACAGCTGCTTGTTGAAAGTGGACTGCTGTAGTGTGGGAGTGCTGACTTAGAGGGGCAGAGTATTGTCTTTTAAGAAAATGGCAGTTGGTAGTGGCCAGTTCTCTTCAATCATGAGTGTTTTCTGGCTTTGAGAAAAATGTAACGAACTTACTCTGTGCTTTCCACCACAGTGTCCAAAATGAATTTCTAGGATGTGGTCACACATCTGTTAGGAATAGCCATGTACAACAGCCTGATTTTAGCAAACAGTTGGGATGATACTAAATCAGAAAAATTAAAAATTTAATTTGTTGTTAAATGAAGATTAATCTAATGTAGCCTAGTAATATTACAAGATTAAGTTCCTCTAGTGTAACTTCTCTTTGTGAATTGATGACTAATGAGTATTGCAATTGTATTCCAATTTTGTCCTTTCCAACGCACCATGAATTCACAGAGGATGCTTATAAAATACGAATACGCATCGATGATGAACCTGCCAATCTGGATATCTTGGACACAGCAGGACAGGTACGTGAATTGGGAGATATTAAGAGGTCTCTAAGGGTCAGGTGTAGAGACAGGAATTGTCTGAAACGGGTTCTCAACCTTTCCTTCACCATGGACCCCCTTTATACCTTTTGTGGCTGTGGACCACCAACACTTAATTCAAGACTTAAAGCACTAGACTGCATCAAATATTTATTTCAGTTTTCTCATGAAAGGTCTTCAAATTTGGACAGAATAAGTTGATCTGTTAATGCACTAACTCCTATTACGATATCTTTATTGCAGTGATTCCATATGAATTTAAAATAGTAGCATCAACACTCTTCTTGCTCAGATAGCCTATTTTATGTTATTTTAATGTGCCAATTCTGAACTTGATGCTGATTTTTGCATTAAAATGTGAAAATTTTTTACATTAAAACGTGATTTTTTAATTTTTTTTTCATGAAAATTTGCTGAAAAGTTTTTAGAATTCTTCTCACCTTCCCCCTTGTTTCTCTGTGTAAGGTCACCGTATGTTTTTGTTTATGGGTCCAGGGCCACCCCTTGGAGGAACAGACTTCAGCCCCGGTGTGGCCCTAAAGAGGGCCCTTGGGTTAAGAAAATGTCTTTAAGAGAAAAACTGCCTAGTTAAAGTGGGTTCCACCAACCAGACGAGCACTGAATATTCTGGCGCATCAGGGCAGGCGTGGGGGGGGAGTTTGAGTATGAGAGGAGCACTGAGGGGATGGGGCTGTGGGGAAATGAGGCGCAGTGCTTGCTGTGGGCCAGGCCAAATATTTCCGAGCTGGATGTTCCCCAGCCCTGCTTTAAGCCTTCACAGTCCCCTTTGACGACATCGCAGCCCCCCAGGGGTATGCAGAACACGGGTTGAGGATCATGGCTCTAAAAGTATGCCTGTATTTTCCCCCAAATTGTTTTTTTTAACTCTTGTACTTACAAGCTTACAGCATCTGTACCATACTATCTGTGGTTAAGCAGCCTCAGACTGTATTCAGGTTTCGTGCACTGCTTCCTCTGTTGCACCTCGCTGTTCATGATGAACAAGCAAGACGTACTGTCTGATAAATGACATGTTGGTGTGATTTCTGTGGTGAGGGAAACTTGCTGTTAATCCTAAACATATGTAATATCTTGTCCTGTATGTAGCAGGACTAGGAGATAGTTGGCCAGCTTGTTTACAGAGTTCCTGTGCAGCTGGGTTTGGAATGTATATTGTGTTTCCCATTCAGAACAAACTAGAAAGTCATTGTATTTGTGCAATTGAAATGTAATTGTCTTGTTTCTAGGCAGAGTTTACAGCCATGAGAGACCAGTACATGAGGGCTGGCGAGGGATTTATCATCTGTTATTCAATCACAGACCGTCGCAGTTTCCATGAAGTACGTGAGTTCAAACAGCTCATCTATCGTGTCCGACGCACTGACGACACTCCTGTGGTCCTGGTGGGAAATAAATCTGATCTGACACAACTACGGCAGGTAAATGGCATGGAAGAGGCCCACAGTTACAAGCTATTTCTGTTGTAAAATGCAGTAATACAAAAGGTTATACTCCCTTTCTTAATTTTTTTTTAATATTTACTATATATAATAAATTGAACAGTGGAGAAGTACTTGTTTAATCAAGAATGTGTTGAATAACCAAATACATACAGCAGTCAGAAAAGTAAAGTCTTCAGGATGATGCTTTGGGTGTCAGCTGCTCTTGGCTTTTTTTTTTTTTTTTTTTAAATTTCTGAAAGGAGATACTGTCAATAGATATTTAGCATTCCATAAAATGCTTGCAGATGCAAGTGTGCTAAGAATGGACACGTAGTAATGGAGAACTTGGATAAAAGTGGGAAAAAAAGGAAAATTACTTTCAGCTTAAGAAACAATAACTACTGTCTGGGAAAAGAGTTTGAAGCTGAGCTTTATTTGAAGGAAATGTACTTTAGAAAACAAGTTCCACAGGTGCTGTTTGTATACCGGAGATTAAATGAATTTTCAGAGTGTTGTAGCAGGAAAATTGTGGTGGCTCTGGTAAAACACCCATGCTAAGAGATGTATAGGATGAAGAGTGGGTGTTGCTTTTCTGTGGCCTCCGCAATAAAACCTTTTTGGTTGGGTGGGGGTTGTTTTTGGAGAGGTTTTGCTTGATCCTGGTGTGACAAACATCATAGATTTTGACCAGGAGAAGGATGTAACTTGAGTTTACCAAACTGAGAAGTGCTTGTGTTAGGGCTGATGCCTGCTCACGATAAGCAACTTCCAGATTAAGCTCCAAGAAAACAATATTCTTTCAGAGGACTTTGTTGTTTTGTGAATGTCCGGAGAGTCTCTTGCAGATGATTACATTGCTAAAGAAAAGTGGTATGTGAAAGAGAAAGAAAAAGTTGGTGTGAAAGATTTAGAGGTCAGTGGAAAGGAGCTGTTCTGGAAGTGAGAGGGTGCTTGCGCAGTTAAAGAGCAGAACAAGAAAAGGTAAATAAATAGATTTACTGACTTGGGCTTTCTTGACAAGTGTGAACTTTTTTTTTTTCAGGTCTCCAAAGAAGAAGGCTCTGCTTTAGCACGAGAATTCAACTGCCCTTTTTTTGAAACTTCAGCTGCATACCGTTATTATATTGACGATGTGTTTCATGCTCTTGTGCGAGAAATCCGCAGGAAAGAAAAAGAAGCAGTAATGGCAATGGAAAAAAAATCAAAACCGAAAAACAGCGTGTGGAAAAGACTGAAGTCACCGTTCAGAAGGAAGAAGGATTCAGTCACTTGAACAGAGAGAATTCCTCTGCAAAATAAAATAAAACCTGTGAACACCCATTTGTAACCAAAGCAGTTTAGTGACAACATTTTGACAGCATGTTTTAAACCTGGTGGGACTTCTATGAGGGAATGCATAACTCTTAGCAGTTGTTTTTGTTTAGAATGATATTCCCTTAATTTTGGATATTTAACTTAAGACACAGTAACAGTTGTACTTTTGGTTGTTGTCATTTCTTTTACTGGATCCAGCAAATGTTGCTTGTGTGTCATTGGTTACAAATGCCGATAGGTTTATGTCCCTGCACTTTTGAATGTTTGTCTTCAGTCACTGTGTACTGGAAGCTGAATTGTGTAAAATATTGCTGAAGTTCTACCCAACCTAACTTAATTAATTTTTTTTCCTAGTTGTTTGCACAAGAAAATTTTGCTGCTCTCCAGAGCGGTGACCCACATCACAAGCGGCGGCTTGTTGAGGTCGTGCTGGAGAGGAGTTTACAGAGTTTGTGTCCTGACTTGCAGCCTTAGCTGCATGTAGATGTCATCAGACAGAGCTCTGTTCTTGGGTTCTCATTGAATAGATTTTTTTTTTTTCCGGCAGAAGTAGTGTGGAATACTTGTACAAGTTTATCTAAATTACCAGTTAATCAGCAGTGTTGTAGGTGGGATTCCAAACAAGCCAGAAAACGCAAATTATGGTTCCTATGGCAGCTGTAACTTGGCAACGGTGCATGAATATGTAGCATTTTCCTACTGTATATAGCATTTGCTGTGTTGCCATAGCGTGTGTAACGTAATGATGCTGTAGGTGCTGTAGAAACCACAGCTTTGAATCTTCTGACTTGTTAAAACTCACAGCTGTAATGGTGCGCTGGCTTATTTATTTACAGTCAGTTTTATGTTCTTGCCTTAAAGGAGCCAGAATCTTTGTTAAGTAGAAGTCTCTAACATGGCCATTTCAAATTATTCTGTGATAAGTATTTTGTAAAGAAAATGACTGATACTGAGATATCTGGGCCCAGAATTTATCTCCCTAATACTGGTAAGATTCTTCCAGTGCAGTCTTAAAAAGTAGGATTGTGGTGCTGTGGAAGGAAGCAGTTTGCTGGGCACAGTGACAGTTGTGACAGGTCCTGTCCCTGCCCAGGCAGCGCAGGGGCAGGTTTTGTGCTCAGTAAAGAGCGATTTGGGTAAGAAGGTGCTTCTGAGGCAGACTCTCCATACATAGAGATTCTCTGCTCTCAAGCTGATTTACATATATGTCGGTTATAGAATTTAAATCCATCAGAGACATGTCTGGTGTTCCTCTTGATTTTGTTTAATAATAGAACAAATCATAGGTAACTCAGACATGATCAAAACAAGTTTCTCAGAGAACTAAGTGCCTAGAATCTTTCAGTTTAAGAATGAAAGAGCTTAGTAGATGAAGTGTAATATAGCGTCTAATATTTTTCAGTTGTGTCAGTAACTATGTTAATCTTACTGATCAAAAATCAGATTTGTAATGTCAGTCTTAGTGTGCTGCATGTGATAGTGCAGTCCATAGTGCAGTCAGACCTGAAAACTCATATGTAAAAGGATTAGTACAAGAAGTGAGGGTTTTTTTTTTTTTTTTTTTTGCTAAACTCCTTATTGCTTAAGATACAACTGGAAATTCTGTGCCTGTTGGTTTTAAGAGTATTTGTGTAAGATTTAAAAAAAATTCCTAAGGAGAAATTTGGAGAGGGTTACATCTTTTTATTTTGTGGCTGAGCTAAACATTTAAATTGGTTTCTGTTTCTCGCTTCCTTCCAATGCTCCGGTGTTAATCTACATTGGTAATAATCACACGTATGTTGTTTGAAAAAGGCTGAGAATAATGCAGATGGTTTAGAATTTAAGACCTCTTTTATGTTAACTTGTGAGCAGTTGTGTGCGTCTTTTCAGTAGTTACTGGTTTGGGACTGAAAGCCCTCCTGATCATTCATTGTTGGGTTAAATGCTGTCTGTAACTTGGGTATAAACCCTAGGAAAGCCATCTAGCAGAAAATGTGAGGAGAAGGAGGGGACAGCAGCTAAGAAGTTGCTCTAAAAGCAGTCGCTGATTCTGTCATCAGAAATTATTTCAGACCAGTCTTCTGGAAATGCTGAACAGGGGCCTGATGGTGATTACAAGTTTCCCCAGTGCTTTTCCTTGATACAGTAAGTTAACATAAAATAGTAGTCAACTTCCTACAGTCAAAAGTTTTCAGATAATATGTAAAGGTAACCTGTCAGCAGCACTGAAAGCTGTCTTGGGACTATTTTCACCTTTAAGTAAGTGATGTCTGTGCCTTATGTGATTCCTTCAATGCAATTTAAGTGTTTACTAATGCCTTTTGTGAGCCTGTTGCTTATAGAATTACATCAGAACAGCAGCAAGCACTTTTTTTACACAGTGTTATTCAAAGAGTTTTATTTTTGTCATGTATAAATTTGTACACAGAATTATTGTTTTATTTGACACAATATATAATTTTTAATACAAACACTTGGCATTTGATGTTTTGATCTGTGGTGTCTAGCATGATGGGGCAGAAGGCCATTCAGCCCGAGAGTGCTCATGGTGTGTTTGTAAATTATTTTGGAAAACGCTTATCTTGCTCAAAAAAAAAAAAAAAAGGAGTTGGTAGGTTACATATAAGTGGTGCAAAGCCTAAAAAAAAAAAAGAAACAACCTGTAATGCCAGTCTGGTGCTAACTTGTTTAAATATGATCTGGACATTTTGCAGCTGAGTCCGTTCACCTTTGTACACTCTGCCTGAGGCGTGTTGACTTCCCGAGTTTTAGTTCTGAGTGGGGCAATAGCAGCTGCATGAGGTAAGTGTCTAAATCTTTGCCCAGATACTTGAGCATTGGGGCAGTGGCCAGAGTAGTCCCTCTGCATTTGCCACTGCCTCAGCTTCTCTGTGCATTGGTTGGTTGCATTTTATTTGCACCAGTAGAAAGCAGCTGGGTTTAGACTCCTTTGGGGCTCTGGTATAGTTTTTTCTTCTCTTAAGGTATTTATACTGTAGCCAAACTTGCCACATAACTGGCTAACAGAAGGCTGCTGACACTTGGGCTGAGAGGCTCTCCCCTTGCAGGACTGGGTGAATGGTGGTCTGGTGGTAGAGGAGCAGAATGTTTTTGCTTCTGCACGCAGCAGAAACGTCTCCCAGTGCATTCGCTGGGTGTTGGGGGGCAGCTTCTCCAGCTGCCCCCTCGTCACCGTGGCTCGGAGTGCTCTCGGCACGCTCGCTCCGTGTCGCTGACTGGTTGGGAGGTTGAACAACACTGACTCTTACCCTGTTCCCTTAGGGCTTCCCAGTGTCTCGGCTGCTGTGAACAGTGTCGCCTTGCTCGTGCTCCTTTTGGTTTTTACCCTTTTTTGGAGTTGATGACATTTCCTTCCTATTCCAGGACAACTCTGCTAAAGAGTCACAGGTGAGATACAAAATACCCAAATACAGTTCACCAGCTGTTTCACCCCCTACTTAATCCTTTGACACACACAGAGCGAAGGTCTGGAACACAAATACTTTTTCTAATGCTGTGCTCTCACTGATGATGCTGTTGCTCATGTTACTTATGATGGATTGGGCCAGTTTATCCAAAGTCAGTGTGTTAATCAGGGATAGGTAGCAGGTCTTCAGTAATTTTGCTATGTCTCTGTTGTGTTCCCCATAAATATGATTGAGACCAAAAGAAAAGGTTATTCTTGCATCTTTTTTGGCTACATGGCTTTCAAATGTAAACCAAAACAAATTACTTTGCAGACATTTCATACTAAAAATTCATACTTGTGTAGGTGCTGTTGCAAGATCCAGAGATGTGTTAGGGAAAAACCTCTAATGACCTTGTTAGAAGCAGGTGACTAAGAGCTTAGTTTTTAGGCTTCTCCCTAGAAATTTAGAAGCTGTTTCAGTGGTGACCCCTTTCTTAAGGGGCATGAACAAATCTGTGGAATGAAAAAATTCCTACCACTGCATTTTTCCAATTCTTTCTGCAGCATGATTTATCCAGCGCCATTTATCTGTCATCTAAATAGTTCCAGGAGGTTTTTATATAAAAGCTCACCATAATGGAGACTCTGTAAAAACTACCTTATGGGTCAGAGAAGTGGGTACCACTGCATACTGGTTGTCTGGGTGATCACATAGGTGTGAAATGTATGGGAAAAGAGAGCTTTTCATATTCCATCTCCCTGAGGCCAGGCTTAAAGGCATTTAGGGTTGTAATTACCAAGATCTGCCCACAAACAGCATGTGCATCACCAGGAATGAAGAAACCTCAGCTAAGAAGGGTCCAACACTGTCATAGTCAGCGTGTCTGTGTAGTTGAGCAGACTTTGCTGTTTACTGTCTGCACTGAGTGCACTAAAAATATTTCATATATTCAGTGGTGCTGATGCAGATTCACTTTGCCTGATTTTATTACAGGAGTGCAGAGCTGCAGTGCCTCCTTGCTCTTAATAAAGGTCAGTCTTTTGCTGAGATAAGTTGTTTCCAAAAGTGCAAAAGTGGTAAAATTTAAGATATGTGGAGGTTAATTACATGTAACTGAGAATTGGGGGGAAAAAAAAACCCAACCAAACAAACCCACAACCCTGCCAAAATTCCTGCTGAATTAAAGCAACCACACTTATGTCAGAAGAGTGGAGGAGTGAAACAAAATACTGCATAGAAACCAGATTGTTAAGATCTGGGTTATGGACAGCTTGCTGATGCACTGTCTATTTTACACTTTTTTACAATTTTTTTTTACACTGCTTTACTATTTTTTTTATAAATCTGCTTGCAAGTAAACTTAAAAGACTTAAGATGAATGCTTCTGAGCTGTGCTTTGTTCTCCAGGGCAAGCAGCTATCTTCTAGTTTGCGCTTTGCCACAGCAGATGAGCAAAGCTGGAACGTTTCCCTTGGTGTGGGCTGAGGTCATTTCTTCCAGTGAGTCTGTGCGTTACATTGACAGAAGATGCACAAAAAAGCTTCTGACGTGAATTCACGCTCTAACGGTGAAACCACTAGATGGCTGCAGTGGGGGAGCTGGTTCCCACTAGCTGGCAGGGAAAGGTTCAGACAAACGCTTCCTTTACTAAGGATCAGCTTTAAACCCGGAATGTGGTGTGAATGCTCGATGAAGAAATAAACCCTAGAAATACAGAAAACTCCTCTGAAAACTACCAAAACTCAGCATTGAGAAACATTCCCTTAGGTTGACTAAAGAAAGGATGAAAAGGAAAAAAATAACGCTTATTACGTGGCCTAAAGATAAGTGTATGCATAAACATGGTCTCATTAGTATGCATGAACCAGTAAAACCAGTATTGCCATAAGATCTCAAAGAACTTGGATGAGTTTTCTTTAATCATTTTTTTTATCGTTTTGGATTTTTTTTTTTTCTTTTTGTTTGCTGTATTACAAAGAATACAGTGTAGCACTTTGAGAAAAGGTGGACCAGTTCTCCTCTAGAGTCATGGTGTGACCACAGTGGGAGTAATTTGGAAATGCAGATGTTCTTTGCAGAGAATGGTGGTAATAGCAATTAAAAAAAAAAATCTATAGTGATGGCCAAGACACTGATTCAGTCTGACAGTATCCAATACGATTAGATAATACAATGTACAGGCTTACTATTGGATTTTTCTCTCTGGGCTATGCAGGGGCATCTTTTCTGTTCAGACCTTTTACACCTTTTTCCCCACCATTCCCAGACTTCATTTTTTTTCACTAGGCCTGTTACTGCTATATTACTGTAAGAAAAGAAAATTACTTGAAAGCGTCAGCTCAGGCTCTGTACTGCAGTAACATGTTGATTTTTCTCCTGTCTACCCTCGTGGGGTTCCTTTCAGAGACATAAACTTATATCCTAAGGTATGACAGACATTTCTTTTAATTACGAGAATATTTTAGTACATATATCTCAGTGTTGCAATTCATTCTTTTAACAGTGTAATGCTGTGAGACACTTGGCATTTGCTAGATTTTTCTTCGCTGAGCTCCTGTTCATCTTGTTACGTTCGTTAGCAGGAAGGAGTCAGACAAGCTTTTACATTTTGGCTCCCTGGCTGTAACCTGAAGTTGGAATTTTTATCTCTGTATATTAACGTTCGGTTCAGAAGCAAAAATCAAGGTGGTGAGTTCCCTGTGATAAGCTGCATTTCTTATTTAAGTTTTTTAAGTCAAGATTATGTAAACTTGAATGTTCCCCAAATAATTTTGCCTGTGTTTTTTGTTAATTTCTGGGTGCAGATGGGTCTAGCCCTTCCCCTGGCCCAGCTGAAATTAATGTGTCCTGAGTATGTTGTGACTGAGAACACACCTTACCCTTCTCAGACCAAACGTGCTCAGCATTCCTGTCTCCCTACAGCTTCCCCTCGGGAACGTGCTCCCCGTGCCCTCATTTACCTTGGGTACACTGCTAATACTTTTTTTTTTTTTTTAAATTCCCCCAACAGCTGCTTTTCTTCAGTGATAATGGGATGTCCCTAAGTGGCTATTGAGTCCTTTGAGATAAATAATTTCAGGACCAGATTAATTAATATATTGATGTATGTGATACAACAGGTTTGGTGTTGATGTGGCTTCTAAAAACTGTTTCTGTGGGCCCTTCTGTGTTGGGAAGAAGGGTAGAACCGTTGTGCAGTGTAGTGGAGGTAAAGGGGAGAGTCGTTTGGAGTTTGCTATTTTTGGTGGTTTTGGTTTGTTTTTCTTGGCATCACCTTTTCTGCCACTTCCTTCTGTTTTACAGATTTCTTGGTGTGTTTTTCCTTTTCCTGTCCTCTTTCCTGTTTGGCCCAACAGAGAGAGTTATCTCCTCCAACAATTCTGTACTTTCTATTCTATTTCTATTTTTATTTCTATTCTGTCTCCCCAACAATTCTGTACTTTCTATTTTTATTTCTATTGTCTCCCCAACAATTCTGTACTTTCTATTTCTATTTTTATTTCTATTCTGTCTCCCCAACAACTCTCTACTTCCAGAAGTGGCACCAAGAGTTTGGACGCCGTGTTGCAGACGTGCAGGCAGGTGCTGTGTCGCAGGCCCGGGCTGTGCCGGTGCCGTGGGCTCCGCCAGGGTCTGCCTTGGTTTTAGACAGCAGAGGTGACTCCAGAAGTTTCCACAAGACCAGCGTTGAGGCTGGGGGCCCAGTGGTCTGTCTGACGTGGGGGTGTGGCTGCTTGAATGCTGGAGATCCAGTTCTTGCATGTTAAAGAGGGTGAAATAAGGGCGCTCAGAGGGACCCGTCTGACAGCAGATTCTTCCCTCTCAGCACAATCCCCCGCGCTCGAGGCAGAGAGGAGACGGAGCTATTCCTGACCCGGCCTGCTCGAAGGAAATACCGAAAGAGTGTTGACCCAGCGTCTGCCATCCAAAGTGACTCTCATTGCCTTGGCAACACGACTCGCTCCTACCAGGAATTAGGTGAGGCAGAAGCTGTCAGAGGAGGAGAGACCCGACTGTGCTGAAAGCAGTGCAAAATCCTGCTGGTTTAAATGGCACCAGCACCCAAGGAAGGTGGGAAGAGAGTCAGAGCTGAGCTTCCATGCTCTCCACAAAACCATTTCTTTTTTCATGGTTTGTCAAACCCATTCTGTTTTCTTTTTTTTCTTATGCAAATTCTTTTGTTTCTGTTTCAGCTGAATGGTGTAAGAACCTGAAACGGCATGTTTGTTCAAGGCATGCAGTACTAGATGCAGAAGCCAAGCAGAGAAGGATGAAGGGAGATTTTCTTTCGCATCTTGCACAATAAGTAGAAATAATCAGCAACTGTGCGCTGTGGCTGAGCAGTTTTAGCCGATTGCTCTAGTAAGCGTGGTGGTTACCATGATAAATCACTGAGTGGTTAAGGGATGGGGATGTGTGCACAGGCCCTGCGTAACCGCAGCGCCTTCGGGTGTTGCAGTCTGTTTGGCACCTTGTCTGACTGGGATTGAAGCACCAGAGCAGGAGTCAGGTCAAGCTAATTATAAATTTCATCTTTATCCTGGAGTAAAGTTGGAGAGAGTTGGGTTTTAGTGTCAACTGTGGTGTATTTGTGTTGGAGAAGGCATGCGAGGCGCTTTGCTCGGAGTGTGACACCCTTCTGCGTGAAGAGCTGCGGCGCTGGCCACGTCCCTTTTTCTGGGGCGTTACACGATCTGTTTGTAAAGCTTGGGCTGAAACTGGTTCCTTGAAGACGAGCCCTGCAGCTCATTTTAAGGACCGGGACACCTAAAACGCCTCCGGAGGTTGGCCCTTTGCTACGTGGGAAGCTCTCAGAAGGAGCGAAGTACGGCATTGAAGTGCTGCCTGTGGTCTGTGTTGCTGGGGAAACACAGCTCCTGCTCGGTGCTATTTGGCATTTTCTAAAGACGTGGCTTTGTGCCTGGCAATATTGTCTGTGTGGTGCTGACGGGAGCTGCAGAAAAACAAGTCAGGGAAGGCAGATCACTGTCCTTTAGCAGGGGCTGTTGCATCCCTCAGCGAGAGGACAGAAGTGCTCCTGGAGAACTCGGCTTTGACTAAAAGGAATGCTTTTAAATTCCAAATATTGGAGTCAAAATGCTTCTTTTTCTGCCCATCTAATGTCCTGTTTTTTCACCTAGATTAAATTTAACTAATGAATATCCATTTATGCCAAATCATAATGCTGTGTAGATAACTGAGAGGTTCTGTATGCGCTAACGCTTAATAATAGTGTTATACTGCATTCTGTTACTTTATTTCTTTGAGATTTATTTTGTGTATGCTTTTCCTGTGCACTGTCACGGCAGAAATGCATGGTTTTTAGAAACAGATTCCTGTTAGTCCCGTTCCTATAGTCGTGTATGTGTGGTCAAACACAGCACAGTCAGCAGCTAAAGTGATTTAATTTTTATTTGCACGCTCAATGTGCGTTAACAAATTCAACATACAAGATAGCATTACATAATGTAGATTAGCTTACAGCATTATGCAGTTTCACACATGTTGAGTTAGGTTTTTTGCCTTTTTTTTTTTTTCTTTTTTTTCACACAAAGTTGTAACTGTCCAAGTTAATTTTACAATAGAAGACACAAGGTAAAGAATAACCACACCTGGGAGATTTTACAGTGAGTCCGCTGTCACTTACTGTCTATTTTTACGTTTTAAAAAATATATATCTGCACATCTTCAGTTTCCTATTATTCCAGAAGTGTTGGAGCTACTCCTATCTGCCCGATAGCCTACGTCTATTTACCCTGAGCGTGTTTCCTTGACAAGAAGTTCATCTTTCCTTTGCAACTAAAGGAATTAGAAGGAGATCATCTAGGCTGAAGCATGCTTTTCACACCGAAAGGAGAGAAGGAAACGTTGTTGTTGTTGTTGTTGGTACGTCCTATTCGGATGGCTGGAGCGGTGTTGGAAAGCATGTTCCGAGGAAAAGTCGTGACAGTTGCTCAACTTCAGCAACGCAATTGCTTAGTGCAAAAACTAGGATTGAAATAGATCTACACACCAATTTCCAAGGGAGAACTCGTTCTCTGGTTTGTGGCTGTGGGCCACTAATAGAGCATGAGCTAGAAAGCATTTAAGACAAAGATCAAATCTACTGTAACCTCTGGCAGAAATCCTCATCGTCAGGATTGAGAAAGCATGAACGAAGTCCACGCTTCTGTCTGCCATGCAAGGCTGAGAACTAGAGAGCTTCAGCTTCAGTGCAACTTTTGTTGCTAAAAAGACACTGCCTGGAAGGGAGGTTCAGTGAGTAACAAGCTACGAGTGAGGAAATCCAGCTTTCCAAAAATAATTTCTTAGGAAGAGATGCCCAAGTATTGCCAACTAACAAAGTGCTGACTGTTTGCACGAGGAGCCCTCCCAGCAGCTGCTGCTTTACGTGGTGGCTGGAGAGGAAACCGAGTAAGACTTGCTCAGTTATTCTTCCTTCAGTACCATGAAGGTGGAAAGGATCATTTTTCCAACAGGGCTCTAAAATTCAGTAGTCAAGTCCTGTAAGTAGTTAAGTGATCTTAAATTTTAAAAATTATAATACGTGATTTACATTCCACAGGGCACAAAACAGACTGGCTGCCTGGAAGCAACTAAGTGTTTACTGAAAATGTGTGGTCTTTACGTGCCTCTTTGCAAGCTCACTTCTGCTTCATATTTCCATTGGAGAGTTCAGAAATAATTTTAATTTCTACAGCCTGTTATAACTATTTCCGCTCATTTACCAACAATGTTTACAATTAATTATTTGCTGCCAATTAGCATCCTTACATCTTTCCTGGCTTGAATGTAATAAGCAGCCAAATTGAGTTACTTGCCAGGATGCTGCTGTCTTGTACAAAACCAGTTCAGAGGCGAGGGTTTACCATGAGATCAAACGCAGCTACTTCCAAACTTCTATTTGTGGAACTTTTATGAACTTCTGTTCAAAACTACTGACTATTCAGGGTTAATAGCCTGAAGTGCTCCAGGTCACGCAACGTTTTTACACTTCAGAGGTGATGGTGAGCAAATCCTAAGTCTCAGAAGTCATTCACAATTTAAGAACTTATCTCAAGCTGCCTTGAAACTCCAAAATTCACAAACAGCCTGTCACATTTTGCAGTGACAGGCTTTGTCCCATGTTTACTCCTTTTTTGAGAGCTGGCTCTTAGGTAACTACAAGATCATATATAATGCAAATTGACTCAAGTATGAATGAAGGGAAGTTTTTGTCATTTTTTCACTTAAAACCTCCTCCCCAAAGATATTTTCCCATCTCAGATATGTTATGCCACTATAACAGAACTTCTCAATCATGTAGAATTTCACATTTAATGTTTTAAAAAAATCATCAAGAGTTTCCTTACATGTCCGTTTTTGGTTTTATCTTGGGCCCTTCATGCACAGACAGGGTTGAATAACATGAAATAGAGCAGAGTTTCCCCAGTTCTGATAGTCAGTGAGATCATGCCTGTGCTAACTTCCCTGTGGCAAAAGCAACGTGATCAGTTTGTGTGTGTTTGAATTTTAGATGCAGATCTTGGACGTTGTGACCTCATAGCTCCACAACAAGTACATCGCAACGGCAAGTGTTCCAGTCCCTGACAACAGAATTATTTCTTCTCTGAAGGAAAGTGCCATTTTTCCCCTGTATTTTCTTTTTGTGCTAGTGCAGAATTCTAAACCACCTTTATATGGAGATGCGGTTGGTACTCCCAAACCAGCAAAGAACAGAACTGCAAGAACCAATGGGCAGGCAAACTAACAAGAAACTAGAGGTTAAACAGCAGAATTCAGAAACTTTGGGAGAAGCCTAATAAAGACAGGCCAATCTTGGTGAATACCAGCAAAGACAGTTCGGCACAAACACAACTTCCATAGTGACAGATAATTGTATTAAAATCTGCAACTTGATATTGGTAGTTATACTAATTTGTTTGTATTAGGCATGCAATAGTGTGATTACACTGTTATATATATTTGTGGTTTTTTTTATTTTTTTCCATTTAATGCTCTTTAGAATTTTAGTGCCCTGCAAAATCACATCACTAGAGAACCAATCAGCTGCTGCTTCTTATGAAAGTTTAGTTCTACAGCTAAAACAAGGTTTAAGTCTGTTCTACGCGTCGGCTGTGGGTGCCGTACCCTCCGCTAGTACTCGCTCAGGCTGTGCCATTTGGCAACTGGCTTCCTGGGGTTGTCGCACACCTCTCGCCAGTGCTCCACGCCCCCCGCCGTGACGCTGTGCGCTCCCAGGATCAGCCGTCCCACCACTTCGTTTTTCGTGGTACGGTCAAAATCGATCACTAGAAATTCAATACTGATGTCAGGAAGGAGATCGACGGGGATATCGTAAATGAAGGATTCGTTGAAGACAGGATTCAAAGTGCACTTCTTCACGTGAGTCTTCTTTTTTGCTATGCGCTTTCTTCCGTAATAAACGTTCACCTTAACGTAGGGATCTGCCGGAGAAAAGAGAAATGAACTAATAACACAGCCCAGGAAGGCTCCTGGAAGTGACGGATGGGGTTTAGCTGCTGAACGTGAGCCAGCTCAAGCAAGTGGTGTGGGCTCAGCTGCTGTTGGTGTATTTTCTGATTGCAAAGCAACCAGCTGATGGTCACTGTGCAACGTCTTGATGAAGTTCAACACTACCTGGGGACTGGGGGGAAGGCAGTCACTAAACTGCAGTAACTCATCCTAGAAACACCAAACAGGTAGAGTTTTGGTGAGGTCAGTGCCCAGCTGGCCAAAACTTTCAGTGTTCACTGTCATCTGTAACAAATATTTTTACCCTCTTTCAGGAAATAGCCCAACAAAGCATCAAAACACTTTTTAATAATCTGCAGATGGAAAACATTTGTAGTGGAAGGTGCTGAAAAAGAAGAAAGTTTAAAACCAAGCCTTCATTTTTCCATCATTCTTACCCTGTTGTTTTATCAGTCCGCTTGCTCTTTGTGCAGATGCTTGTTTAGGATTTAAATTAAGATAGCAGGCACACAGTGTTTTGTGTTTTTTTTTTTTTTTCACAACACAAGTTTTGAAGCTGGAAGTCACATGCCCAGCTGACACCAGCTAATTTTCACCTTTTTTTTTTTATCCAGCTGAAATTCTGAGCTTATGCAGAATATAAAGATCATATAAAGAAATTATGTTAGTCTGGCAAGACTCAGCAGGTAGAACAGTTAAAAAATTTATCCTGTAGTTGGAGACCACACATGGAAAGCTTTTATTTTTATTTTTTTAAGAAAGAGTAAAATTTAAGTCCTATAATAGAGAATTGAGCCTAGTTTGTTTTCTTTCTGAGGTGGACAGGACAAAGCTGCAAAAACAGGACTAAATTTTCTATCAGTTGGGCTGTTAATGAACCTCAGGTTGATTCCAACCATTCTGCCATAACCCTGA